AACTCCATGGACACTGCGAGAAGCAGAGCTGAGGCAAAGCTGTGTACTGTTAGGTATCCTGCCCTAAGGGGTGGTGCTAACATCATTTAGCTCGGCATAAATCAAGAATCATGCCAACACATCCGACTCGGGCCGAGATGATACAAGGCATTAAGGCCCTGGGTTAAGTTTGTTACAAGTTTTTGGCTGAGAGTACCTTTCAAGAGTGCAATGTTTATTAACACTGGAGCCGAACTGCGTGAGAAATGAGGCTGGCACAGTGCTTGAGAAGTGGCCGTGACAGGGTAGGGGCCATTTGGGTGTTTGAAACAACCATTGCTCAGTCTGTGGCTCATTCATGAGCCCTGGCCTTGGCCATCCATTATGCGGGGGTGTGACTCGTCGCGGGGTGTTCCTGCTCCTTGGATGGACGGCTGAAGCTCTCCAAACAGCTGGGGTGAATAGAGACCACCCAGACTTGGCTGTGAATCGAGCCTTGTAAACTTGCGATTCGGGGTGGTTGCCTGAAGGGCTGTCACCCACTGATAGTCTTACACACGCTACCCATGGCTGGGCCCCAGTAAAACCTAGTTGCTTGACGGAGGTGACTTTTTCAAAGGCCAGTGGAGAAATAACTGCATTCTGGGCTGAGTATGGGCAGTCTGTCTCTCTGTCTCATACCAGGTGGATTGTACCTGTGCAGGGCATTCACAAGCCACTTGCAAGGGAATCCCACCACCTTTGGGGCGAAGGGCTTGGGATTTGCAGAGCTGGGGTGAGGTGAACCTGGTATCACAGGGATGGTGCTGATTCAAACAGCTCTGCCACGGGGCCACAGCAGCAAAGCCGGGGCTTGAGGTGCCCTTCAGACTGGGTCTTTCCCAGGGTGGCAAGCCACAGAGGCATTGGGCTTGATAAAGGCGTATGTCCTACATGGTGCTGCAGGCTGAATGCCATCACCAAGGAGACTGGAGAGGAGCAGGAATAGGACTGAATCACCCCAAACCCTACAGCTGGGAAGCAGGTTGCTTTGCAGACAGCAGCCGCACACAGTGCTGGAGGGGTCCAGGTTTTCAGTGCCCTCAGATTCCCTTGCCAGCGAGGCTGGCCTTGTGTGTGGAAGGGGATGGGGAGTGCTTCGTCCTGATGACTTACCAGTCTGGATTTTCTTCCTGGTACCTGCAGGTCAGTAGACATCAGCCCGACCAGACTGCACAGCTTAGCTCAGCACTTTAGACACCGGAGCTCCAGTTTGGAGTCACAAGGCAAACTCCTCGGCTCAGAAAATGAGACAGGGAGCCCTGATTTCTACACCCCAAGGACTCGTAGCAGTAACGGCTCTGACCCCATGGACGACTGCTCTTCCTGCACCAGCCATTCCAGCTCTGAGCACTACTACCCCGCTCAGATGAACCCCAACTACTCCACCCTGGCAGAGGACTCCCCATCGAAAGCCAGAGAGCGGCAGAGGCAGAGGCACAAATCAGCGGGCAACCTGGTCTCTTCCAGTTCAGGGAGCATGCCCAACCTGGCTGCGAGGAACGGGACGGGGCACCACCGCGTCTACCTGCACAGCCAGAGCCAACCCTCTTCCCAGTACAGGATCAAAGAGTATCCCCTGTACATCGAGGGCAGCTCCACACCCGTGGTGGTGCGGAGCCTGGAGAACGACCAGGAGGGACACTACAGCGTGAAAGCACAATTCAAAACCTCCAACTCCTACACAGCGGGGGGGATGTTTAAGGAGAACTGGCACGGGGATGAAGTGGACTCCGTCAGGCTGACCCCCTCCCGCTCCCAAATCATAAGGACTCCATCTCTGGGCAGGGAGGGCCATGAGAAAGGCTCGGGTAGGACTGCCGTGTCGGATGAGCTGCGGCTCTGGTACCAGCGGTCCACAGCCTCCCACAAGGAGCACAGCCGCCTGTCGCACACGAGCTCCACTTCCTCGGACAGCAGCTCCCAGTACAGCACATCTTCGCAAAGCACCTTTGTGGCGCACAGCCGGGTCACGAGAATGCCTCAGATGTGTAAAGCAACATCAGGTGAGAGCTGGGCCCGGGCAAAGGCATGGGAGGGATGGGGGGCTTCATGCAGCCTGGATTCGTGCCAGGCATTATAGCCCAGCTGGAGAGCAATGCCAGGCCGTAGCACGTTACCTGGCCTTTACGTGCTGCTTCACCTCAGCTTCACTGAGCCCCTGTAGGTGCAACGCTGAGGGGCAAGCTTTGTCCAAGACACTCATCGGGTGAGAATTTTTTTCCATGGAAATCATCACTTTGCAATGATGGGCTCAAAAGGCAGGGAGGGACTGAAGCCCTGTTGTTGCCAGGTCGTTCCTCAGAGTGCAGCTGGGTTTTGGGTGATGGCACTAGGGACCAAACATGGAGAAACCGTGGCAGGGGGTCACTCGTAGTAATCACAGCAAGGGGAGCGATGAAGCAAGCGGGGGCTCAGCACAGACTAGCAGGATGAATGTCCTCGGTGAAACACCAAAACCATGAGAGAGGTTAAGTGGGGAGTGTTCCAGCCCCTCCACCCTCCATGAAAATGTTTGAGCGATGACATCTTTGTGTGCTGCTGAGACTTGGTTTTCCCATGCAGCTCCAGTAGCTCTGCTGATAATATCCCAAAATTCAGAGCACTTCAGTTTGCAGTATTGTGCCTCTCTGTCATGTACAGAGCTTTGCACTCCTCTGTGCTGTTAATATTAAATGGTAAGAAAACAGTCAAATTCATTAAACTGAGGAGGCCACTATGTGTTATGAAACAGTCCAAGGTTAAATATTTACTGGCCATCAGTCACCGCTGGACAAGCCAGTCTGGATAGATCAAGGACTTGCTAAAATACCAAGTCCAGCCCCACATGGACGGGATTGCCGGTTAATCAGAGTTTGCACTGTGCCCATCGCCACCCTTCCGCATGTGGAAGACACCATTGCTCCTGCCTCGCTTTCCGCAGGCCCTCGCGGCCTCCCTGAGCGGACCAGTGCATCATCCACCCATGCTGGCTGTTGGCCTTCTGACATCCCAGCATGCTGCCCAGTCCACGGTGACCACCACGCTGACACCAGTGGGGCTCTGTACTCGCTGCCAACTCCAGTGTGGAGTCAGAGAGGCCGTTTGACACCAGGCTCCCTGTGGGCCTCCAACAGCTGCCCAAGAAGAGGCCAATTTATGTGTGATGCCAATGCTTGCAGGAAGCCCAGATGTGGACCAAGACACAGTCGAGTAGCTGCTGGAACCATCCTGTGTCTCCATTTGAAAATCTGTCTTCCCCCCTCTTTGATTAATGGGCATTTCTGTTCCACCCAGCAACAGAAAATGCTTGAACCCTGGAAAACTTTGCCTTGCTTAGCTTTGGAAACCGTACCAGTTCAGTTAAGTAATCTAGAAAGAAAAATGGTGGGGCTGGGGGAAGAGCACGTAAAAACCGCTGTCAATTAGTCCATTCCCCCACCCAGCTGGGTGTTTAAATCTAAATGTGGTATCTGGGCAGCACAGGAGTAGGTGGGCTCAGCAATCACGGCTGGTCGCAACCAGTTGGCAGTGTAGATTGGGTTTGCACTTCCCAGTTACAGCTGTGGGCGGATACTGACCTTGGGGGCTGTCAGCTCCAAGGAGCAGACTAAAATTTTTCTCTTCAAGCATCATTTGGCAGCAGCTAAAAAATTTAAGAGCACAGAAGGGGATGCCAGGTAGAAACATCCATCATTTTAGCTGATCAGCCCTAGCCGATAGGTCTATGGACCTCACGCTGTCCTTCAAAGAGGATCATACTTCTAGGCATATATTAAATTCAGAGGGTCAACACTGTATGGACTTGAGGAGGAGGAAAGATTGGTCAGGTGGATTTCTTAGCTAGACCCTCACTGGGGAAACTCCCCCAGAACCACTGCCAATGGTACATTTTTAGTCCAGCATGCTTCTGTCTCTGTTGAAGGAGAAGGAAGATAAGCCTTCCTCTGATCCCACAGTAGTAGTGTCAGCAAAGCCAAACTTCAGGTTTTTTACAAGTGCACAGTGAAAGGTAGTTGTAGCTTTTGATATCTTCAGAGCTGTCTTCCTCCTTTGCACATGAAGCAGAGTACTTACTTGTCCAGACTCTTGCCACTGCCAGCCCTGGCTCCTAGGGACACAGAGCATCTCCCACCACCCCTAGAAACAGGAGGTTGAGCCTGACAGGCTGGGGGTCTCCTCCAGTTCAGGTCCTGTGGAGATGTGCAGCCAGGCCCTCCCAGTCCAGGCAGCAGCAAAAACCGATGAGCTTTCATGCTGGGAGAAGTGTGGTGGCTCCCAGGCAGGCTCAGGAGAGTCCGGGTGCCTGTGTTCAGCTGGAGGTCAGGCTGAAACAAAGCATTCCTGTAGAGCTGAGGGAGGATCCAGCCCATGGCAGGCAGCAGCGTCAGCAGTAGGCTGGCTGCTCCTGTGCCGCATTCAGGCACGGCCATCCGGGAATAGGATGAGGTCTGACTCCCAGGTTGTGTTTACTCACAGCCGGACATGTTCCTGCTGGTCTGACCAGTTGATGCTTCTGAACCACCCTGACCCTTGCGCCCTCACCTCACCGGTTATTTTTCTCCACCCTTTGGTTGTTTTTCAGCTGCCTTACCTCACAGCCAGAGGAGTTCAACACCGTCGAGTGAACTAGCAGCCACGCCGCCGGGCAGTCCTCACCACATTCTCGCATGGCAGACTGGGTGAGTGTCTGTAGGATCGGGTTAGAGAATTCACCTCGCTCAGTGCTGGTGAGAAAAACCCTCCCCACACACAAGCAAAGGGAGAGCATAGGTATGGGGAACATTTTCCAGGTGCCCCGTAGCCTACACCCACACAGGGCATTCCCAGCCTCCCACCCGTGCTCTCGTAGCGGTGGAGCTCTAGTTCAGGCTGACAAGGACACGGCCGTGCCACCCGCACCCAGCAGCACTGCGCCAAGCAGTGCTGGATCCACAGGGGAAGAAGCTTTGCAGGTTCTTCCTGCTCGGACAGTCTCCTTCCTCCAATTTTTGGTATGCCAGAAGAGCTGATCTTTTTTTTAGCAACCATCACACTGGCTGCAGACCAAGGAGATCCTTGTTGTAAAGGCAAGGTTAGGTGCCTACCACATTTGTGTATGCAATAACTACGTTTTTCTGCTAGGTTTTCCCTAGCAATGTGTCTTAATGACTATTAAGTGCATCTTTTTTCAGCTACCACAAACAACATGCTTTGCCAAAGCATGAGTGAGTCATTACACACAGGTAGCCATTACTCATGTAAATATAGTAATTGGGTTCTTTGGCACCTCTTTGTGCGGCAGGGAGTTCCAAGAGTAAACAAAAAGCCTTTTGCAAGCTCCCATGGGTATTCTCTAGCAATCTCCTGTAATTCTGTCCTGCCACATGAAATAAAGATCATTTCCAGATCCCATCTAACTCAGTATGTCCCAGATTTCTGCATCTAAATTGCGTTTGGTGAGATCAGGTAGAAAGTTTCAGACTACAGTCCTCAAAATACCATAGGCCCTTGAGTAGGGAAACAGGTATCATCCCCTGAGTTGTGAACTGGGACCGGTAACTTTGCAAACGTTTTGCTGCGCAGCCCCTGGAAAATCTCATGCTCTTTAATTTCTTCTGGTCACCTATGACCAAGTTTGACCTCCGGTTTTACTCCAGCACTGCTCGTGACTGCACTTTAAAATGGAGATGAGGAGAACAATAACCACAACCCCCTTAGGCCTACCTTGAATTTTAAATTCACACTTTTGACATCCAGCTTCACATGGTCCTTGCATGTGCTTCTAGCTTTAGAACAGGAGAATTTTCCTGGTCCCATTTCACAAAAAGTCAAGGGATGGCAAGATAGGCAAAATGGCAGCCGTCTTTACTGAAATTTGCACCGCTAAGGGTTTGAGTCTAGACTCAAATCTTAGTCTCAGTCTCCATCCCAATCCTAATTCCTCTAAATATCTCCATGATGATCAGAAGTAAAACTGGTGAGCAGCCAGCTGAAAAATCCATTTGGAAAATCCCAACTTTTCTTATTTTTCCATTCAGGAAAGCTCCTGCACACTGTCTCTCATAGCAAAAATGCATCAAACCAAATTCTCAGCTGGTGAAAGTAAAGTTATAGCTTGTTGTAGAAGATTTATAGCTCAGGCCCTGCACCAACCACCACTGCAAAAAGAACTGGAGACAAATCAGCACTTATTTCATGCCTGAGCGTAACACCCGAGGCGTATGTTTAGATAAAGTTTGCCATTAGATGCACAACACTAACTCCCACGCTGCAGGAGCAGGCTGTGCCCACCCAGCACAACTCAAAAGATTGACAGTTCTCCCCAACATGTTTTTGTGTCACTAACTTTTTCTAAAGATGATTCATCAACTTGTTTCCCTACTGGATTAATAAGCTCGTAACAATGTCTGTGTCACTTCTTTTCTTTAACATTTCCTCTCTCCTCTTTCCTCCTTTTTTGCTCTCCTTTGTTCAGAGAAGCAACAGACAACTCACCCACTATGGATGAGTCTCAGTCTCCAACCCACCAAAGTACTGATGAATAGAGGTATAGTAAGGGAACGTTTTGTTCTTTCATCCTTCTGCCTTATAGTCCGTGAACACAGTGCGAATAACCGGCATCCCGCTGTCCCAGAGGAGCAGCCCTTTTAATTGTGTGCCCGTTTGTTTGGCAACAAGGCTTCCTTCAGCTCTTGGAAGAACAATTTGAAAGCATCTCGAAGCCTTCTCTGTGCCTTTTCAGCAAGCTTGCGGCTGTGGTCCTTTCCCCTGTGAAAGAGGACATTGGGCCAGCCCGCTCTGCACTCCTGCAGAGGTTGAACAGGCACAGAGAGCAGGTGGTAGTGACAAATTTGTGGCTGGGGACATTTCAAAGCAGCATGGGCAAAGTGCTGCGGGGAAGAGTCTGGGAGCAGCGTGGCGGGGGGACAAGCTCGGGTAAACGCGGGCCTCGGAGGAGCTGGACTGAGCTCCCGGCAATGCTCCAGCCGTGGCACCGAGCATCCTTTTCTCCTCCTTCCCTACCGCAGAGCAGAGCTGTGAAGCAGAGGCTGTTAGCAGCAGCGAGGTTTCATGGAACGAGGAGCAACCCTGGCCCTGTTCCTGTGGGAAGACAGAGGGGGAAGGGTGGAGGGAACAAAAAAAACCCTCAGAGTATTTCTATTTTAATTAAACTGCCTTCGCTGTCTGACACTCTCATTTGAATCCACAACCATTCACAGCTGGCATCTGTCAAGTATTTCAAGCCCAGCTTTCTAGAGATAACCCATAAACCTCTGTATTCCAGCACAGAGCTGGGAAACAAAAGGCTCTTTAGCATGCAGATGGTGATGCCCTTGCTCAGGTTCCTCCCAGACACCAGTCCCAGGGAAACCAGGTGGAAAACAGAGCAGAGGAAGCAGAAACTGATGGACTGCATCAGATGCGAGATCAGTCCTGAGAGACGGGGAGGGAGAATCCCATGATAAATCCCACAGTAAAAAAGATAGAAAATGCATCTCCAACTTTTGGCCTCAGTCTCTTGTTTGGAAGTTGGCTCGAATCAAAGTGTGAGGGAGGGACATCAGTTCTGAATATTACTATGCAGATATAGCAGTCACTTTTCAAAATATCAAGATTTTGACCTCAGTGCTTTCCTCTGGCAAGGAGCTCCACAGACTAAGCCAGGAGCCGACCCTGATCAGAGCTCTTAAGATAAATAGCAAAGAAACTTCTCAGCAACTGTCTCGTCTGCTCAGTACAGGCAAACAAAAAGCCATGCAGTAGAAGCAGGAGTAGCTTGTCAAGAGAGGAGCCCCAAGATGAGGACTAGGCTACCTACAACAAAACACGGTCCTTTCCACATTGGACCTGGCACCCTCTCACTAGTCGCTTCCTAGCTCATCCCTGGAAAGCCACGTAACTCTGGGATTGCCAGGTGATGCACAAGCCTCTGCCCAGAGCAGAAGTGCTACAGAAAAGCACCACCACCACCCTCCTTCCACACTCCCCCTGGGTAATTCAGTCTGTGGCCAAGAGGACTTGCTCCCTGGAGAGCATCCTACTGAAAAATCTCTTCACGCCAGCTTACTGCTGGGCAGGAAAGCAGGACAGAGCCCCTTAGGCAAGGCAGAGCGCTGCTGCTGTACCTGGGGAGGGACGGGGCTGCACACAGAGAAAGCGGAGGCAGGTGTGGTACCACATGTGGTGGGATGGACACGGCCGGCAGAGTCGGCCACCAGCTCTCGCTCTCCAGCAGCCACTTGGCTCTCTTCTTGTGCATCCTGCCAGCAGCGGGCTGAAAGCACAGCAACTCTGCCTGCTGCCATTCCAGCATCCAAAACTCATGACACCCTGGCTGCAAGAGAGGCTGCCGGAGCTCGGCTTTCTCCTGCCGCCTCGCACTGGGAGGGCTGCTGGGGTGAACGGGATTGCTGGGCAAGAGCAAACTGGGTCAAAGCAGGGTCCTGCATGCTGAGCCACCACAAACGTCAGTTGTGGGGTTTCCTGGAGAGTGCAGTGGGGTCTGTGAATATCCTGCATTCCTTCCCACCCATAATACGATGTTTTATGCCCATGGTTGAACCTTCCAGGAGCCCTCCTTGTCATAACTAAGTTTCCTTTCTCCTGCAGGAGCTACAACGATAGCTGTTTCCTGGATTCTCCCCTCTATCCAGAATTAGCAGATGTCCAGTGGTATGGGCAGGAAAAAGCCAAGCCTGGGACTCTAGTGTGAACCCCTGACCTCAAGTTAATCACATCAATGCCATTCTGAGATCACCTCACTGCCTCTCATTTGCCTTACCCAGATGCACTGTCACCCAGCACCAGCTTCAACTCTTAAGCACTTTTCTCACGATGCAATTCAAGACGACATTTACAAAACACCGGCCCTGAGACATCCACCACGACAGCGACGGACCGCAGTGTATCCCACTGCCAGACTGGTGCACGTCCCTCCCACAGCCCGCAGGGCGGCGGGTGCAGATGAGCAGCCATCTTCATAGTCAGTCGGCAATTTAAAAATTGATTTTCCTTTGAAATGATGAAAGCCTTTCAAGACTTACATCAAATCTTATCGTTCTGCGGCATGTAACAGCAGTAAGATTTCCATGACCTGCGATCTGAAGCCAAGAGAGCATTAGTTTAAAGGAGGGGGGGTAAATGGGACAGAGACTAAGAAATGGGTATCATAGTCCTGAAAACGCATCTGTTAGGAAACAGTAAAATCCCATCGCTTCAAAGACATGTCAGAGTCTCGCACTCAGATCTGCACTGCCAAAGATCGCCACACCAACGTCAGCAGGATGCGTTTGCTCAGCAAGTTCTAGCTACAAGAACATCTCTCTCATTTAACTCAATGGCAGACACAATCACCTCCTGTAAAACGGCATTTCCTTCTTCGCTTGGTGCCCACCTACATGCAAGCAAAACAGCCCAGTGTGCTGAAGACACGCTGGAGGTCTGGGATGGTATCGCAGCATCGCTGTCTACAAGCTACTATTACACTGGACAAACACGGTTTACAAAGGCATTATCTAAAGCAGAGGCAAGCACTGCTACTCACAGCATCTCTGGGGCTGGCACAGGTTGCACACCCATCCATAAAGAGCTTGGGGTTGTGTTGGTTGTTTTTTAATACTCTGATGAAGATAAAAATTGCCAAAAAACCCTTCCTACAACCAGATACAGCCAATAAATGCTAATCGATTTCTGCACAAAGCGTTAACGTGAAATCAAAGGGAAAGCACATCGCAATCTAATTGACACGGTAAAGCTGCATTAACATATCTGTTCCGCTCATCTTCCCTTCGTTAGCACCAGTGTAGCAAAGGGCTCGTCACCCGGCGCGCTGCTGTGTGGGAGAACCGGTCTGTCGGGAAACGAAAGGCTCGGCGGCGGGGTTGAACAACCGGCAGACTGGGGAAACGCTCCCCTTGCGAGAAGCGACCGCGAGAAAGAGAAGCAACCGAACGAAGTGTTGGACACGAGCGAGAGCTGCCTGCTGATACCAAAAGGAATCGTACGAGAGCGTCACGGAAGGAGCTGCAAGTTTACACATACTTTTGAGCAATGCTTTATACATGTCAAGCCATGGAACTTTCAAAGGCCTCAAAGACACTTTTGTAATGAACAAGTGCACAATCTAGGTGGATGTTGAAGCTGGCACATCTAGTCTTCATTGCGGTGCTATGCTGTTTTTATTGCCACTAGATGGGGGGAGGTACCCGGCCTTCCCCCGTTTGTGCGTGCAAACGATGATTTCCTATGGGAAAGGCATTAAAAGAAACGGCTGGAGGGGGTTACTTCGTGAAAAGCAGAAACTGAAGTTAGCTTAAGAAAAAACGGGAGAAAAAAAAGTGCGAGTGTGTGTGCGTGTGTGTGTGTTCCAAGAATAACAATAGCGTCTACCAGACAAAGTAGGGCGAAACGTTTAAAATTAAACACCACGACTTGGGGGGCTGCCACACCCTTTGGTATTAAGATTGCTGGAAAACTGCATTCCAGGCTTTAAAAGAGAATGGGTTCTTCATAATTAGGCTTGGAAAGATGACGGGGTTTCTAAAAATTAATGCAAGCGGCTCACGTGAATACCTTTCTGCGACCCATACTAGGAATGTTTGCTTCAGTTCTCGGCGCTCGCCTGCTGTGCTGCTGTCTCGCATCACTGGTGAGGCGGGGAGGTGGCCCTGCGGAGACGAGGACAGCGACGGACAGCAAGGCTGTTACTTGTCCAGGGAAATCCATGCCAGAGCCAGGAAGGAAACTCTTTCATGTTCACACACAAAGCATAAATGAATTCTCCCTCTGGGTGGGAAAAAAAAAAGTATACTTTTTTTATACTGGCAAGGGGTTTTTAAAGGTAGCCACGTAAGCCTCGTGCCCCTGGACCTCCACGAAGGATCACCACAGGAGCGCAATCCCCTTTGACAGTAATTGAAGCCTCGTCACCGACTGCTGGAAGAACAGCCAGCGGTGAGATTGCACCCTTTATCTGGACGTGCAAAATGCTGTTTTCACCATCTCTTTGTGCTTTGGGGTCTTTAACATGGGAATTATTTCAAGCTCCTAATTGGATTTTTTAGCTGGATAAGAGATAGCAGCGATTAGTGACATTTACTGATACGATTCGGTAGCTAAAGTGAAAGGATTAAATAAGGACCAAATTAAGCAGCAGCAAGTAATTTAGCCCACGGATTTTTAGGGGCTCTGAGCAACTGTCTGTTTTCTTTTTAATTTCCCTGGTAAGTGGTTTTGGGTTGTTGGGTTTTTTTCTGTGTACCTTCTTTTAATTAAAAAGAATTCAACAACAGCGGCACTATGAGGCCTCTGGGCACTACAGGAAGAACGATTAATTCCTCCAAGACCAGATCTGCAGTTTTGCAGCAAAGGTTAAAAGGTGGCAGCCCTGAAATTAGGAAAAAAAAAAAAAAAAAAAAAAATGGTTAGCCTGAATTGCGAACAGGCTGGAGTAGAGAAAAAGCTTTCTAGAAACGGATTGAGTTTTGCTTTGTGTTCTGCTTTTCTGTTTTGCAATCAAGGCACATGTGAGCAGCCAGTCTGGTAGTAAAGACAGATTAAGTAAAACAGGTTTTACTGTTTAGCTCAATTCAATTAAACACAAATGTACATAAAATGTTAATCATATGAGATTAACATATTTAAGTATAACGCGGAGGGGTATATACATAGCTATTATATACAAGCACTTGACTACCAACTTAACCCCTCCTTTACTTTTTTATTTTTCAAGGCTCCATCTGACATAAAGCCACAATTGCGTTCTTAGTCTCCACGTCTGACGCTCCCTCTGTTTAGGCAGGAGCCGGGTGCACGGTCTGTGCGCTGGGCCACGCTGGGAGGCAGGGTTTATTTTTAAATGATATTATATGCAGTCGAGTGTTGAAGATGTTGAAACAGTCCAATTTGTTTTCACTCTGTATTAGTTTTAGTTTCAGGCATAGCCGATCCCCATTCAGGTGCTATCAGATGACCAGTTACTGCTTAGTTACCTAGATGTAAAGTTTTACATATATATTAATGTCAATAGTTTTATTACAAGTTGTGTAAAATGGACTCTATAGTTTAAAAAAAGAAAAAAAAAAAAAAAAGAAGGAAAAAAAGATTAGGTCTCTCCTGAAATTGACTTTAGAGCATGGCAAATGATTTTACTGGATTCTGTTCAACTGTAATCAAGGAAAAAATATGTATGTTGTAGAAAAAGTTGCAGAATTAAAAAAGATCTGCTTTTAATTTATTCTTTTTGTATTAAGAATTTGTATAGTTACCTTTACATTTTGCAAAACGGTGTTGTCAACACTTCCTTATTAAAGCATTTTCAAAATGAAACCTCGCCGTGGTCTTTTCAGGAGGGCACAGCACCTGGGGAGTCCTTACCCTGGCGACCGCCCCGCCACCTCTGCGAGGCACTCGGTCCAGATGTGCGCACAGCTGGCCAGGGTTTCCAGGAGGAACCCACTCCTTTGCTGTCAGAGGGCCTGGCTGCAGGAAACGCTGGGCATTTCTCCCCAGGAAAGCCCATCCTTTAGAGATCCCTCGGGATTCAGCACTCGCACTCAGCAGATCCCCACTCGCTGCATCACCCATTCTCTCGAGCACTGGGCTTGGGGGCTCAGGAGGGGTCTTGGGCAGTAAGAAACCGCATGACCGACTTCCCACCACAGTCGGAAACAGTCACAAAACCAGCATTTACTTCTAACGCATGTATCTTGAAATAACTAAAATGAACGCTCGTTTACACGAATCGGATGCTAAGGAGCTACAGCGCTGTTTGCAGCAATGCCGAGGTCCGTAGGACAGGCTTGAGCACCGGCACGCTCACCCCTGGTGCTCCAAGGAACCACCTGCTCCTTGGGTTAAATTCCTGAAGAACCTCCCCCCGCCCCAGTCCTGGTTTAGTCTCTGTTGCCGAGTTGAGAACCCCACCGACAGACACTGCTCCAGCTCAGGAGGGGGCTTTGCCAGCAGCCCGGCCCCTGCACAGGGTTCAGGAGGCCACTTTGTACCACCCTCTTCCTGCTCCGTGGGCAGGGGTGACCCCAGAGGCCACCCAGCACCCCCTCCAAAACGGCAGGCAAACAGCCGCACGCTCTCCACGTGGGACTTGTCCGCACTTCTCGGCACCCAGTGCAGTTGCTTCCTGTTCATCCCATTCATTCCCACTGTCCAGGGAGCTCCTTTCCACCTGAGCGTCTCCTGCATCGTCCACCCGATCCCCCACCACCATCACAGGGAGCCACCCGTGGCACCAAGCCAGTGCCAGAAGACCACCCCGACTGTCACCCAGCATGGCTGCGTGGGGGACAATCTTGTGTAGTAAATCCCCAAGAGGGTCTGGGATGGGACAAAAAGGCAGTGATGAAAATTTTCAGACATCCCCCTAACTCCAGGGCTTTGGCTCGGATTTATTGCCAGCGGCTCCGATACCACTGCAGGCACCTCTGCAACACGTCAGGAGCAGCCCTCATGCATAACAGCCTGCTCCAGACCTGATACCGGCACCGACACCCTTGCACCAGCCCTCTTGGGGGACACTACGTTGCGTACTCATCCCCGGGGTCAGGAGTCGGGGCGCTCTCCTCCCCCTGAGAAGCGAAGCCATTTACAGCTCAATCAGGTTCATTCTTTGGGCAAAGACTGGATCTATACTGGAAAATGTGTTGCAGCTAACAGGAGAGGGACTCAGTTCCTCAATCAAAACAAACTGATCCCACA